CTTCGGCTTAATCCACCGTCTCCCGTATAAAAAAACTGCAAATCCTGTGGCTTCAGTCCTCTCGCGCTCTTGTGACGGCACCTCATTAACTATTAAGAAATCCCTGTTAGGCTTTAAGGAAATATTGTATTGCGCAAATTTGAAGCATCTTTTCCCAGGTGCAAATTTGAAGATTGCGTATAGAGCAGAATTTAATAGAACCATAAATTTCGTGAGTGCTCATCAGCTGCGTCCTCCGCTGCATAGAGTGAGTAATGAAGGACAAAATACAACAATTGAATTCATACAGAAGAGGTCATAGAAACAGGTCAGGAAGGTCACTTAGTAAATTGTTGTATTTTACCATTATTTACTCACTTTATGCAGCGAGAGGACGCAGCTGATGAGCACTCGCGAAATTTATTGTTCCATTAAATTCTGCTGTATACGCAATCTTTAAAATTGCGCAAATCGTTTAAGGGTGAAATATGTACACTCATTGATCGACGTTCACCGATCGCTACTGGAACTCACTCGTCGCGCTTTGCCTTGGGCCTCGTTCTCGAACTCTGGCAGCAACCACTGCGGCTAGTAGTCTAGGCAGATAGCATTACCGGAAAAGACAGTCTCCCTTTTCGTCGTCGGCAATGCTATCTACCTAAAATATGTACTTATAACTTATCCTGTGTCGACCTTATCTGTTCAGTTGCCATGTCTCAGTGAATACTCTATTCCATCGTCGTCGTCGCCGTCATTATTATTATTGTACTTATTATCATTGCTCCTGTGGCGCCGAGTTCTGGTTGTCTCGCGCCACATTACTACTATTGTGGTCATATTTATGGTTATAGTAATTACTGGGGATATTAACAGGCGACGCAGAGCACTCCTGCAGGCTCCGCTTATAATTTCTGTAGCAATGCCTTACAGTCACAATAACGCTCTTATTGGCTGAATGACCTCCACGCAGAAATTGTCGTGTTCAAATTGGGGTTCTGAACTTCTTTTGTACTGGCTGGTTGAGCCACCGTGATTGCGCGAAATTTAAATCGAAATCAAAGCGGTGACAACTAATACAGCATTCTCACAGCGAATCGAGAAAAGAGTTACGGATAAATTCAATAGATACTGAATTGGTCACTTTTGGCTAATTCAGACTTTTGATTTTTTTAGGATGACCTGAAAGCGGGTCTTTCAAATGCCGATATCGTGACGTAACTAGGATCTTCTGGAATAATGCTCCACGCCACTTAATATTGCAACCCTCTTACCTAAGCCAGCTGTACAAATAGAAAACTTCAGAATGTCCATTAACAT